CGAGTAAATTCGCACACAAACGGTTTGAAGATGCAACACCCATAATTCTAGTACTAATATTTGATATGCTATTAAGGAACTATTCCGTAATTTTACCAATGGCATTGGGTTCCCGTAGCAGCGAGTATGAGTAGGTGATCGCAACCTTCTGAACCTCTGATTCTCCGATGTTTGAGTGGTCTGTGGTGGGTATTTGAATCCCAGCGGAAGGCACTTGTTGCAAGTCTTATGTAGGTACTACAGTTAAGTGTTTCTAATCGAATAAGGATCAGCCGAGAGACTATATGTACATGAGCTGAAAATGCTCACAGGTACAGGAACATATATAGGAAACTTTGTCCACTAGCATGGAGCTTATCAAGCCTCATTTTCCACAGGTTATAACCACGGAAAGCCAATCTTTACAGTACAAGTTGTCTAAAATGCGCCCGCCCCTCGCGTTATTTCACATCTAATAAATAACGGTGGTTCATTGGTTAAGAAACGGGTAGCATAGTAACGTCCTCCAAGCCGCTACTGTCTTTCGCCGTCACATGAATTTATCAAGTACCGTGATGTCTAAATTCATACTTATATGTTTCGTTTGAGCGAACCTTATGCTCCAACAGCTAGTCCCTATCATGTTTGACTGTACAGGGGATCAGCTGTCCACCTAGCTCCGTGACGTTTGTCAAGCCCACCTGGCACTGGGTGAAGACTCGGCAAGGCTGTTACAATACCCTGCTTTCTATTGAATTGCTCTTCACGTCAGTGACACTGTAGTCACTGAGGCTGTTCTTTACATCGAGATCCGCCATAATGATGGCCATGCATCTCAATCAGATTGCCCGTCGGGGACTTCTCCTGTCGAGAAGTGCTGTGTAAAGGCTTGTCTAGGTATGGAACCTTGAAGTAGCATGCGCCTATCGGCCCGGTACATCCTTTCATTAAGAGCCTGATGTGATGATTTCTATCATCACATATTCACAAGGTTTTAACCATGTGGCCAGATTGCTGTCCCTTAGGCTTGCTCGGCAGGATCTTATGCCGGTAGTCAAGGTGGAGTTAGTAAACACGGCACGGCTGGGGGCGGCAGTTCGGACCATTGAATTCTCACATGTAGCTAGTGAGCACCGGTGGCTTGGTTTTCAGGAGTTTTGGTGTGACTTTGATGGTCTAGTGTCGTCGAAGTCTGCCGCTGGCAACGATGCATCCCTTACCTCGGTTATTGGCGGACAGATGATGTTGTTGATCACTGAGCTGAAGAATTGCCCGGGAAGTTATCTGCATTCTGTCCCAAAGAAGCTATGTTTGCGATGTGATCCCTCGTGGACTCTTAATCGTTAGGCCTAACGCTAAGAAGGCGTTCGACGACGACCGACGAGATTGACATATGATCTGAATATCATTGGGTACTTATATATGATGTATATGATTATTCTCTTGCTTCGTGACATATATTACTCTAGCATGTCGGGCAACTCCCCATCAGTGACCGATGATATGATCCGAGGGCTGTTACGACACGAATTACCGGAAATTGCCAGCGGAACTCAACGACGTCCATAATGGGAAACCCGTGATTCGACCTATGGACCGATTACCTTACTCTGTCTTTCAATGCCTTCTCAAAACGGCAATGGAGTGTTCCGGCAGTAGCCATGATCATGCAGCTTAGCTGTGCAGTTCTCGCCGTGTTGTGGGAGGGCGTAACGAACCCGAAAGCAATTGAATTTCACATGGTCTTAACTCAGTGAACACACGTTCTGCATATCTTGCCCGTGCCTTGTATGAACAGGCAAGTCATGCATTTCATTATATCTATGTATTGAGAAGTGATGGGGTAGTAATGAATGTCGATGGACAATATCCTGGTCATAAGCTAGAAATCTTAACAGCTATTGGATCAAAAGGTTCCAGCAACATTAAACGCCAATTAGACTGGCAAAGGCGCCGACAGAGGCAATATCAGAAAACTCTAAAACAGACAAGTCGCCAAACTAAGGACTCGGATTTCTCTGTATTACTGTTACCAGAATCAAAAACCAAAAAATGGCAAGGCCATTTGCTCTCGAATGACACTTTGCTGTAGTGTGACTACCCTACAATGACGAGGAGGTTGAAGGGACCTGATTTCTCACCAGGATTGGCTGGTAAGCCAAGTTCCCATAGCCGTGACAAGGCGACCAACCAGACAGCGAGAAAAAGTTAGTGGCAGATTTTCGCATCTTCAATTCTCCCAACCCACGCAAACTCAGTTTGCGATCGTGCTGCTGCAGCGATAGTCGAACCGACACTGCTATATGACCACTACCAACATCGCAATGTCGCAGGATCAGCCCCAAGCGCAACCTCCGTTGCCCGAGCGTAATGAATTTATTCACAACTCTGCCATTGCTGGCGCAGTTATTGCGCCTCTCGCCATGCTACTCCCACCACGAAAGATCGATCTTCGATTCTTCGTCCTCGCCAGTGCCTTCTCTCTTGCCACAAACCAGCTCGCCTACGAGTATACGGGCTCGTCAATCTACTCACGGTTCGGCAACCGTGTGGGCTCCATATTCGGAACCGAACTCCCCGAAGGTGCTCAGCGCACCCAACGACTGCTACGTGAGCACCGAGAGCGCGAGGCGGCACTCAAAGCTAGGTTAGGCCAACAGAATCCACAAAGCGAAGAGGAAAAGACGGGTGTGGCCAAGGCACTCAACGATGTATGGATGGGAGGCGAGGAGAAGAATTGGCGAGAGCAGCGTGCGAAAGAGCATCAACAAAAGATGGAAGAGGGCAAGGGTATTGGCGATATCATCATGGAGCAAGTCGCTGATGTCTGGAGTGGAAATTGGGGAAAGGGTGCCAAGAAACAAGATGACGAGACCACAACGGACGACGCTTCATCGATCGGGAAGAAATAACATTGTCTCAACTGAGGAGAGACAGCATAGATGTCCAAACAACACTGGAGGGTATCATCTGGTCGCATACCCATTGTCGACAAAATGCGACATGCACAAGACCGAACTGTACCACTATTAACGGAAAAGGCGAAGGGCCGCCAGGGCAATACGACTGTAATGAGCAATGAAGAGGGCTAGGACAACGTATATAGGGCAGCTCATGTCATGTACGATACAACAGTTTGTATAATCACGATCTTATCTCATCTACCCAACTCATCAGCCACTCAACAGGAGCATATCGGGCCACTGACCGGAGTGCTACATGAGCACTCAGCAATTCACAGTGCAAGGTGTTGTCAAGAAGTTTTCAGTCAATGCAGGCTGGCTGCTGCGATACTGAAGTGTTGCTTGCATCATCCACACCAGACCCGTCGTGTCCACTGTTGACAAATCGAGCGTTGTCGTGTCCCGGTCCCCCAACGCGGAAGGGAGGGGGGCGAAGGTTGGAACCTTTTGCTTGTCAATGGTCTTGGCGTTGAGATCATCCCACTGGAGTGATTCGTTATGCCATCGAATGTGAGGGTTGGGGTGGATTTCCTGGTATGCATCAAGCTGGGAGCTGTACTTCTTGCACAAGGGATCTCTCTCTCCCGGAGCTTGGCGTGGAATAGGACGAGGCGCAACGCGTAAATTGTTGTCCACTGCAAAAGATCTCATCGGAACCCGTACAACTGATCGATATGGGCACACGCCATCAACGAGCTCCACTGCGTACAAGGAATACGGGAAGACTCGTCAGCTTTAGCAGTGGCTGTGGTCCGTTGCGCTGTAGTGTTAGCCACGGGCTGGAAGACAAGTATTTCACCATAAATGCATTGGTGATGTGGTTGAGACAATGAAAATGCGTCAACTGGGCCTAGTATCCATGTGCCTGCGATATGAAAAGCTAGAATACAGGTAGGTAGTAAATTGTAATCCATGAGTTTGTGCTACACTACTGTCCCAGTAAGTGTTTATGCTGACGGGCTGTAGTATTACTTATAAATAAGAGATGCCGTGGTGTTTTTCTTACCAGTCCGGAAGTTACTGAGTTTAATCGGGGTTTACCTTCGCAGATACGGAATAATCGAAGTTAACATTTAATAAAATATCAGCATTCCCAGTACTTCATGATTACAAGTGTTCTTGTGATCCATAAGCGAGTAGATATCAACAAAGGCTCACATTAGCCACCACCACAAAAACAGCCATGAATAGAGGTTACTGTTCTAAATTAAGCAGCTGTGGCGCTTAAACATCCATTAACCAGAGTGAGGCTCAATGGCTTAACCGCACAGCACCACCCAAAAACCCTTCTTCCCAGTGATCGACCTTTGGTTGCAGGGATCCATGGCTTACAGCTGTCAGCACAGCCCCGGCTTGTACGTCACTCGGCTGTGAGTGGTTTCGTCATGGGCACAAGTCAGCGAGAATAGAACAAATATGCCCTTATTCTCTTGTTACCTAAGCTAAAGGCTGCCTCAGAATAATGATACCTAACTAGTTAAGCTGCATATTTGTTGTATTCCCAAGTATTTCCTCTCCTGTTTTTTTTTTTTCGATGCTCCCATCTTCACTCTTGTGCTTCACTCGTTTGGCGATTTTTTACGACGACGCAAATAGAACAGGCTACTACTCACTGGGCCCACAGCTTCCACGCGTAAGGCAGTCGTCCAATCAAAAGAGAGCTTCCACGCAATCCAGTCTCTTCGTCCCTGGCGACCCTTGAAACAACCCGCTCAAGCCTACCTAACCCGTTGAGCTGAAGTTCAGGACTTTGGATTCTGACCAGCCACCTAAGCTTGACCTAGCGCGAGGGATACATTTTCTGGTTCAACATCTTTCACTTTGGAAACGACAAAGCCAATTTGACATACACCCACGCATTGTTGTCAATAAAGATCAGGGCAAGGATCATTCGCCGAGTTTCAAAATACCGATTCTTGATCTGTGACGCCGTCCCGACCCCTCTGAAACAGCTTGTCGCAGTTGTATCTCCTTTCTTTGCCGCTTGGCGGCTTACTCCCATCAACTGCCTACGTAACCTCGTCCCCGTTACTCGAGAATCTCTTGCTTTCGTCAACTATGGCTTCACACGACTACTACAGCGGTGGAAGTCAACAGGCTCCTTATGGCGCCGGCCCCAACGCTTCTCCCTACTATCAGAATCACGAAACCCCTTCGCCGCATTCTACACCAGCGCCACCATATGAGCCTAGCTCGTACAACTCACACTATGCTCCCGACACCTCGATCTATCCTGCCGATACTGCCACGCATATTGTCCCGACCAAGCAAACACCATACTCGCCTAACGATATACAATATCCTCCTGCGGGCACTTATGCTAGCCCTTCTGGTCAGAGCTCAAGCCATAATCAGCCTGGCCAAACTGGTCAGTCTCCTTTCGACACTGTCTTTGACGATCATGTGTACCCGGCAAACTCGAACACCGGACCGACTCCCAGCTCCAGTACGGCTGACATTGGCCAACAAGGCTTCTATCAAGATACAAGCTATGCTGGAGGGGCTGCCGCTGCGCGACCTTACGGCCAGGAAGACATTCCCCTTCAAGATCGGGCCGCCAAAAATGACGACCCCGAGATGAATGATCATATTTATGACGCCCCTGGACGGTCTAAGAAGAAGGGCAAGAAGGGCAAGGTTCGCTTGGGCGAATTGGGTATGATTGGCTCTAACAAGAAGAGGATTCCTTGGGTTGTCTATATCTTTTCTCTTGTCCAAATCGCCGTTTTTATCGCCGAAATAGCAAGAATGGGTAAGATGTGAAGATTGATGTAGGAGGAAAACTGTCAGCTGACTCGTTCACAGGCGTGTTAACAGGAACTCCCATTGCGATCAAACCGCAATTCAACGTATTTATCGGCCCATCTCCCGGCTTACTGATCAACATGGGCGCCCGTTATGCCCCCTGTATGCGCAACGTGAAGGGTATCCAAAGTGTGGACAAGAATGCGAAGGGCGCCGTTCTACCTGGTCTACTTTGTCCTAATGCTACCAGGGACGACAGTTTCTGCCCTCTTCATGTGGTCTGCGGTTTCGGGGGTGACGTGCCAGATCCTAAGTTCAATGGCGATATCAACCAGAGTCCCGAGCCCAACCAGTGGTACCGATTCATCACCTCAATTTTCATGCACGCCGGTCTCATTCACATCATTTTCAACCTTCTTCTGCAGCTCACCATTGCGAAAGAGATGGAAATGGCCATTGGGCCAGTGCGGTTTTTACTCGTTTACATGAGTGCTGGGATTTTCGGGAACATCATGGGTGGAAATTATGCGCCGCCAGGACAGCCATCTGTGGGTGCCTCTGGTGCCCTTTTTGGCATTATTGCCTTGGTCCTCCTCGATCTTCTGTACTCATGGAAGGACAGACGCAACCCCGTCAAGGACCTTCTTTTCATCATTCTTGATATGGTAATCGCATTTGTCTTGGGACTTCTTCCCGGCTTGGACAACTTTGTCCATATTGGCGGTTTTCTCATGGGACTCTCGCTTGGCGTCTGTGTCCTGCACTCGCCCAACTCACTTCGACGGCGGATGGGCCAAGAGCTGTCGTACGCAGCCGTTTCTCCTCAGACTGGCGAGACGCCCCCTCACTTTTTCAAGAACCCTGTCGGTTTCTTCAAGGGGCGCAAGCCACTCTGGTGGGCTTGGTGGCTGGTTCGAGCTGCCTTCCTCGTCATGATCATTGTCGTTTTCATTGTTCTCCTGAACAACTTTTACAAGTATCACGACACCTGTGATTGGTGCAAGTATCTCAATTGCCTAGTAAGTTTCTCATCACTACTACACAAGATGACAAAGTGGCTAACCTTGAACAGCCCATCAACGATTGGTGCGATTGGGGATCTTTTGAGCATCTTAAGGAGCCCAAGAGTTCTTCATAAGTTGATAATGAATAGAGGCTGGGTCGGCAGAGACCCAACAAAATCGCATCAGGTTAAAGAGTGCGCAGCTTTAGAAAGTAGCCTGCACGTTAATAAGCAATTTTATTCATTGCAAGACTCGACACCATTGGACATAGCAGTTAGGTCATGCTCTTTCACTGGAAACACTATAGGGATGTTGGAGAATGCTACCTCTTGCTTTCTTTATGTCGATTAATGAAGAAATGATTTGTCCAGTGTCACCGTGTGCTTGCGCGTGATACCAGGATCTTACCGGCAACTCTCGGAATAAGTGGTGTGAATGTGACTTACTGACCACCATCAGCCAGTTGTACATTCCTGCAGGCTGTTGCTGTTGGCATAGTATCATACATTTACCCATCACACTACACTTGTACATGGATATGAGACATGGGGTCAGCGATACTATTACATGATATTGCAGCTCTTGGCTGTATGCAGGCCCAACCAACATCGCACAATGTCACGCGATACCCCGCAAGTCAGCGATTTTGTGACCAAAGGAAATGATATGCCTGGCAGCTTCACAGTGCTTTAAATGCTATAATACTTCCCGCTTGTTGCTGCTTTGTGAATATAAGTTCTTCCTCGCCGTCTATACAAAGATTCTCACACGTATAGTCCTGGTTCCATGAAGATGACTTCTCTAAAACATGCTGTCGGCCCCCTTTTATCTGAATGAGTAAGTTCTTTCGATGCTTGATCCTTTTTAGCCCATTTTGGGTGAGATGATGAATTCTTTTTATGCATGGCTTAACTGATCTCCCGAGACGGAGTACGGATGCTTATAGAATGGATGTCTGAATGTGTTCTTCCCCTAGTTTTGCAACCTGCTATCAGCCCGTGTTGCAACCCATGAACTGACAGGAAGAATAGATGCCATGAAAGTCTCTAGACAACTGTCACGTCGAGGTATTAGTATCATGTGATACCTTTCAAGATGTGTTCGGCAGTCATCTTTGTAGTTGAGTTTGGCAGTGCAACCCTTGCCAGGAAATTCAAGTACGACATCAGTCCTTCCATGGAGTTTTCGTTTGTGCACGGCCAGGGGCCGTTTGCGTTCAGAAACACCATTGTAAGGGACAATTACCTAAGAAGCTGCCAAGTCTCTGAGATATGTGCATTTTCAGCATGACTCAATTTGCCTGGCCTGTGTGGAAGCGCTTTCGCAGCCATTACTCAAAATATGAATATACAAGGCCTTGTAACTAATCCTTCACTTTCGCTTTAAGTTGGCCCAGTACGATTAAGCGCTAGTTCGGAACAGATCATCGTGCTACCAATAGCCGCTGACCGCGGTTGATCTTTGACAATCACTCCTTTAGTAGACGATCTATGGTCGAAAACCTCTAGTTCTGCTAGTCTTGTATCGTTTTTCTGGGACCCAAACTCTGTGATATGAGCGCCTGCTTCCGCAGGAAACCTGTGCAGCAGTCGCACTTTAGATGTTGACGTATTTAATCCTACTTGGGGGTAAACTGGCGAGTTCGCCAATTCTAGGTGCATACATCCTGGGACTCTTCAAAGTCGTAATGGAATAGTGAGGCAGCTAGCGACCACAGAAGAGTCCAGCATATCGATGACTTCCACGATGCTATGCGCGCAGAGGGCCTTTGAATGCAACACGTCGTATCATATATAGACTCTCCATGTAAGGGATCTAGAAAGCCCTATACAATTAATCTCACTTATCAATGGCCTAGGGTAGGTAGGTTTCACCCCCTGTCTCAGAGAAGGATATATGACGCCTGTTCACGTGATCATGGCGAGTAAGTGGGGTCAGTCACGTCACGACTAACACGAGTCGCGCTACGCGGTAGCTATCAATTAAAGTCGTGTCGTCAAACCCATCAAAAATCTCCCCTGTGAGAGTCTCCCCTCCAACCGTTTAGTGTCAACAATCATAATCCACCAAAGACGTTGTCAAACACTCTTCACTCTCCTTTCAGTGGATGAATACTTGATTGCATAGCAGTTTTCTTGTCTTTTTCTCTTCCGACGTCGACTTGTTCTTTCTTCGTGTTTCGCATTCGCCTTCCTCATCCACCATGGCCAGTGCAGTTCTTCCTCAGAAACGAGTTCTGGGCGAGAGCCACACTCGCCAGAACATCACATCGTCTCCCTCCTCAACGAAGAAGCGCAAAGTAGATACGATACCGTCATCACCTGCTGCCGCCCGGGCTCCCAGCTCTCAGCATGACCGTCGATCCAAAATGACATCCACTCAGCTCAAGAGTGCATTTGAATCAGAAGTCCTCGAAAAGCTCAGCCAGGACTTGTCGGACCGCAAGCGTAACAACACCGAGAAGGATCAGGCATGGGATAGACCGCCTGTAGTTGACTTCGTACCGGAGCGTGACAGTCTCTGCTTCCAGTCTATTGAAGCCGAGGAGGGTACATTACATGGTGGGCGGGCCACCGTCAAGCTGTTTGGTGTCAATGAAGCAGGAAACTCAGTCATGCTGCATGTAACCGACTTCAAGCATTATCTATATGTTCCCGCACCTGTCAACTTCCAACCACAAGACTGTGCAGCTTTCAAGGCATACTTGGAGACTCAGGTCGCTCAACATCAGCCGACCATCCACTCAGTCGCCTTTGCTATGAGAGAGAACATTTACGGATTTCAAGGGAACCAATCGAAACCATACCTGAAGGTTACCGTGACAGATCCCAAATTCATCAACAAAGTCCGAACAACGATTCAAAGTGGCAATGCAAACTGGAAAGGCATGTGGAGGAACGATGGCGAAATTCAAACTTTTGACAACCTGCAATTTCTACTGCGTTTCATGGTTGACTGCAAGGTATGAGAAAAGCGATGTTATGGCTACATGATCTAATATCCGCCCAGGTCCGAGGAATGTCGTGGGTTGAAGCTCCCGCTAAGACGTACAAAATCATCCCCGATCATGTTCGCCAATCCAACTGTCAAATCGAAGCTGAAGTTAGCTACCTCGACCTCATAGCACACGAACCCGTCGGTGAATGGTCAAAGATGGCACCGTTGCGTATCCTGTCTTTTGATATCGAGTGTGCCGGCCGTAAGGGTATTTTTCCGGAAGCAAACCACGATCCCGTCATCCAGATCGCAAATATTGTTACACAATATGGAGAAAAGAAGCCATTCGTCAGAAACGTATTCTGTTTGCAAGAGACGAGCTCTATTGTGGCAACTCAGATTCTTGAGTACGAAAAGGAGGAGAAAATGCTGAGTGACTGGCAGAAGTTCCTTATACGAGCGGACCCTGATATTATCACCGGCTACAATATTTCCAACTTCGATTTCCCATATTTGCTAGACCGAGCGAAACATCTCAAGGTACCTGGTTTCGAGTACTGGACTCGAATTCCTAGCATGCAATCCAAAGCCAAGGAGACGAATTTCTCCAGCAAACAGATGGGCAACCGAGATACCAAAGCTACAAACACCAACGGTCGACTACAACTGGATCTTCTCCAACTGATTCAGCGTGATCATCACCTCAGGAGTTACACCCTGAACTCCGTGTGTGCCAATTTCCTTGGCGAGCAGAAGGAGGATGTCCACCATACAATGATCACAGAGCTTTTCAACGGCACACCCGAGTCTCGAAGACGTTTAGCGCTATACTGTCTGAAAGATGCCTACCTCCCACAAAGGCTAATGGATAAACTCTCTTGCGTGGAAAATTATACTGAAATGGCAAGAGTCACAGGGGTGCCATTCAACTTCTTATTATCTCGGGGTCAGCAAGTCAAGTTCATCAGTCAGTTGTTCCGAAAAGCACTAGAACAAAAGCTTGTAATTCCCAATCTCAAGTCAGAGGCTTCTGATGAACAGTATGAAGGAGCTACAGTCATTGAGCCAACCCGAGGTTACTACGATGTTCCAATCGCCACGCTGGATTTCGCCTCTCTATACCCTAGTATCATGCAAGCTCACAACCTTTGCTATACTACCCTGGTCAGTAAGAAGGCGATTGAAGCCTTCAATCTCCAGAAAGACGAGGATTACATTGTCACACCGACTGGAGACACTTTTGTCACAACCAAGCAACGCAAGGGCTTATTGGCACAAATTCTTGAGGAACTTCTCGCGGCCCGTAAACAGGCCAAGCGTGAGTTGGCGGTTGAGACAGATCCGTTCAAGAAGGCTGTGTTGAATGGTCGACAACTGGCTTTGAAAGTCAGCGCGAACAGTGTGTATGGTTTGACTGGTGCTACAACAGGCAAACTCCCATGTCTCGAAATTGCCAGTAGTACAACAAGTTTTGGCCGAAAGATGATTGAGAAGACCAAGGAAGAGGTGGAAAACCGTTACAACATAGCAAACGGATATTCTCACGACGCTCAGGTCATTTATGGTGATACTGATTCCGTCATGATTAAATTTGGCACCAAAGACCTGCAGGAGGCTATGAAGCTTGGTGAGGAAGCCTCGAAATACGTCTCGGAGAAATTCATCAAACCCATCAAACTCGAGTTCGAAAAAGTATACTTCCCATATCTGCTGATCAACAAGAAGCGATATGCTGGCCTATACTGGACTAAACCAGAGAAGTATGACAAGATGGACACAAAGGGTATTGAGACGGTGCGACGTGACAACTGTTTGTTGGTCCAGACGGTCATCGAAAAAGTCTTGCGAATGATCTTAATCGACCAAGATGTTCAAGGTGCCCAAGAGTAAGTTCTTTCTCGAATGATGCTTCAGTATTTCCTCTTTTCTTAGAGGTTATTAGACCTCATCAGGCAATGCGGGGAGAAAACGGAATGCTAATGGTAAATTTTCTAGATACGTCAAAGAGACGATTGCCGATCTGCTGCAGAATAAGGTCGACATGTCGAAATTGGTCATCACAAAGGCCCTTACAAAGGACGATTATGCCGCAAAGCAGGCGCACGTCGAGCTGGCGCAACGCATGAAGAAGCGAGATGCAGGCTCGGCACCGGGACTCGGTGACCGAGTGGCCTACGTCATGGTCCGAGGCCCAGCTGGAGCCAAAAACTTCGAGAAGTCGGAGGACCCCATTTACGTGCTTGAGCACAACGTGCCGATAGATACGCGATACTACCTGGATAATCAACTAGCTAAGCCACTCGGCCGTATCTTTGAGCCGATTCTCGGTGAGACCAAGGCGCGCTCTCTACTTACAGGAGATCATACCCGTACAATCTCGGTTGCAGCTCCCACTGTTGGAGGTCTTATGAAGTTTGCAAAGAAGACACAAACATGCATGGGCTGCAAGAAACCTCTGACAGGGAAAGAAGAGTCACAGGGGGCATTGTGCTCTAATTGCGCACCTCGCGTTGGTGAGCTTTACAAGAAGACGCTAGATCGCGTGTCAGACTTGGAGGTGCGCTTCGGGCGACTATGGACCCAGTGCCAGCGCTGTCAGGGCAGCATGCACTGCGAGGTTATCTGCAGTAGTAAAGATTGCCCCATCTTTTACATGCGCATGAAAGCTAAAAAGGATCTTGAGGATGCTGGCCGCGAGCTTTCACGTTTCGACGCCGATCAGGCTGCCATGTGGTGAGAGGGATGCTTCTTCAGGCATCTATACCTGTTCAACATTCGCAGCCGTCGCCTTGCCATTTTTATGTCTATTTTTGTTTGCTGAATCACTGGAGAGGGAACCAAAGCATCTCTGGGTGCGGGCGGCAAGATGTGGAGGGGCATGCTGAGCTGTAATGGAAGAGATGTGTTATAAAATCACGGCTTGACACAGACATATTGTATGTATAGGCGCAGGTATGAGTTTGGCATTGTTTATAATCGTATTGTGTAGGTAAGGCGTTCTGGGGGTTGGGGTTGCGGGCTCAACGTTGTTGCAGGTATCGTTGCATATATTTAAGACAGAATAAAGTACACGGCTTTGGACATGAAGGCGTTTGAGACCTTTATTTCCCTTACGAAAAGCAAGGACCAAGTGTTACTACTAAACATGACGATGGAGCGTTTAAAGGCAACGTAGCAATGGCATCAAAAGATTATTGAGAAATTTCAGTCACAATGCATGGGTTGGAAGCAGTAGAATAGCATAAGTCTAAGTGTTTCGGCGAGAAAGAAAACTAGACACAAATGGCATGATATGATGATACTTTCTCACATCATGTGTTCTGGGCTGCTGAGCGGCCAAACCTCCCGAAGCATATCGAAGTTCACTGGGAGCTTCTCCGCGGGATAGACCCTGACCGTGAGCAGACCGATGGTGATTAACAATAATTTTGGCAATGGTAAAACTTTGAGAGTCAAGTAATGATCGGAAGGAAGAGGAGGCCGCGGAACATATCGGAACGATTGGATAGCCCAAGGCCCAAGGGTAATGAGGGGTGCTGAAGCCTGAAGGGGGGTATCATAAGTCATGATGAGCTGGAAGTTGGGGGCAATTCATGAGGGAACAGATTCATGATGAATGTGGCCAGTGCTTAATCCTCGGGCTATGGCCGATTTGCAGTGGTTCGGTGATGAAGGCCGGGAATTTCGACTGGCCCTTGTAGTTTTCGGAGGGCACCCGGAGCATCTGGTCTCAGACTTTCTCTCTCATGGAGATGTATGTCCGGATGGATCAGCCAGTTCCGTAAACGGTGGACGGCTAAACATTCACGATCAAGACCAAAATTTGTTGTTGTCGGGAGCGAGGTAGTCTCGGTCAAAAGCATGGCGAGGGATGAAACGGAAGCTAAAGTCTTCTAATCGGTCCGGGGAGGCATGCTCTGACAATTTGACAGGCGCTGTATCCGTACTGATGAATTAGGAGAATGCTGTGACAGGACAGGCTCCCCCGGATTATTTTATCCTAGTATCCCCGCCACTGAACGAACTGTAGCGTGCCAGTAATTATTCGTTCGGAAAGGATTTCGGCAACATATGATGGTTTGTGTTGTGGTTTGATAGATCCTTTCCCGACGTTGGCTGATCAAGAGCGCCATTGGTTGGAAGAAGAGTTGATGTCAATTCATTCTTCAAACAAGATGACAAGGCGGCCAATAAGAATGTCTTGATAGTATAGAGACTAGGTAACAGTTACAGTTACAGTTCAGGGTCCGGGGAGTGTCGATATGTGCTGCGCGTCAATGGGGCCACGGCGAATATCACTGACAATAATTGAACAAGATGGTTGAAGCAACCTGGAAGTGGACAAGGATAATTATCCCGGCGCATGCTGTATTTCCAAGTTCGCTGGGTCGGAGGAAGACGCCGGTGACGGGACAAGGGTAAGATGCAACGGTATGAGCTATTCCCGCATTCAGGGTTGCCGCTGATTCGACAGAAGGCAAAAGATATTTCCCTTTCTAGATATAAAGAATAAGTTTGGCTTGGGAATTGGTAATGGATTGTTTGAATTGACGCGCTTGGTCAGGCTAAAGTCCCGGGAACCTGGCTGATGCATCTACGTACCTACACACACACACGACACAGGACTTTAATGTTAAGATTTAGGTTAATTAGCAGTGTGGTGGGCTGGGGATGAGGCACTTTCTCTCATTCCGCTAGACACACAGATCATCCCTCAAATAATAAAATAAAATAAAATCCTGGAGTCGTCCTTTGAGCGTGGGATGCAGCAAGGGACCTACCATGATTACATGTCGTGTGGGGTTATTTGTTAGCTGAGAAGGTCCATGCTTACCTGGGGATATACTGAGAGTAGTGCAACAGTCAGGCCAGCTCAGTTTGGCGCTGAGCAGGAATTGCAAGTGATTAATAAAGGCATTGATGAACGGATTAACGTCGATGATGATTTCAAACAAGCCAAGATAAGATGTGCATGTAATTTACAGAACCCCCACCACGCAAGTCTAAGAGCGACGGTGGCAAGCGTGGAGGTGAAGTGCTGTACTCCGTATAGAGCGAATGGAGGGGATCTGATAATGGATTGGAATAATGGGCGTTGGCTAATAGGAACCGTATCATGAATAATGAATGGCTGAAAACATGGCGTCTTTGATCTTTACTGCAGAGGGCATGGTACGACGGCAGCCAGGACCTACATTGCCGGAGTGAATGAGCGAATATCGGAGGTTGACGATGCCCTGGTTGCCCGTGAGAATGGAAGGCTAGTAAGGTACCCGTAGGCGCGCGACATATGAGAGCCCGAGATCCATTGGCCAGATGGGATGGTGGAGAAGAAACGGAGTTTGTACGGAGGAGCTCACGGCATCTGCGAAGACCCTGGTGTAGTAGTAATAGATTAACTAGTGCTCTCACATGTGAGTTGCTAAGGTGAGGCATGAATCTCATGCGGTGACTTGAGTCTTTCTATTACCGTGAATGGTAGATGAAAAGGAAAAGGAAAAGGAAAAGGAAAAGGAAAAGGAAAAGGAAGGGCATGCTACGATAACATGTGTTTCGTCCATGTCTACCACATCCAAATTCTTCAACTTGCAAGACCACAACCCCAACCCCAACTCCAGACAAAACCAGACAGCATTGGAAAAAATTGGAACCCCCCCCAGGGGTGTGTGATGAGGCTCCTTGTCGATGTCGATGTGGGGTGTAACGCTAGACTGGGGTTTATCGGGAACGACAGAGATTAGGGTGTGTCTTGTCACTCGATTAGATGGGATAATGGCAACGCGATTGCCTATCGAGTGAGCTTTTTTCTGACTCCCGTCCTTTATCTCTGAACACGAATTGTCGCATGTTTGTGCCGTGCCGTGCGTGCGTGCGTGCCACGCTGCGCTGCGCTGCGCTCATGTATCTATCCCGTCCTGGCATCGGTCTTGTATCGGATGCGGACGCGGACCTCGATGCCATGACGGAAAGAGTGATGGAGTGACCCAAGCGACCATCTCTTGCCATTCTTTCGCAGCCCTCGATAACCATATAAACCTCGCCTTCCCATCGCTTTTCAAGACGGTTTCCCTCCCTCCTTATCTCACACTCAACAAGTCTCGAAAAGTGTATCGAATCTCTTCGCAATCTCGTTCCCAGCAGGAATCTATTTATCAATCACCACTTTCGATACACATCCCAAATGCAGCTGAACACCATGTCTCACCTTCCCCAAGAGCCCGAGTTCGAGCAGGCCTATGGCGGTAGGTAACCCATTATGTACATCAATGAGAACACAAACCCTGACTTGCAATCTCCAGAGCTCGCCTCTGCCCTCGAGAACAGCTCTCTCTTCAACGAGCACCCCGAGTATCGTACTGCCCTTGCTGTGGCCGCCATCCCTGAGCGTGTCATTCAGTTCCGTGTCGTCTGGAACGACGACAAGGGTAACCTACAGGTCAACCGCGGTTATCGAGTCCAGTTCAACGGTGCCCTTGGCCCCTACAAGGGTGGTCTTCGATTCCACCCCAGCGTCAACCTGTCCATTCTCAAGTTCCTTGGTTTCGAACAAATCTTCAAGAATGCCCTGACTGGCCGTAAGTGACCTCATCACCGCGCTTATCTAGTCCCTGCATATTGCGGGGCGATGGTTGGCACAAGTGAATGAACCAGACTCGCTAACATTGTTCTAGTCAACATGGGTGGTGGCAAGGGTGGTGCCGACTTCGACCCCAAGGGCAAGTCTGATGCCGAGATTCGACGATTTTGCCAGGCTTTCATGACTGAGCTGTCCAAGCACATTGGTGCCGAGACTGATGTTCCTGCTGGTGATATTGGTGTCGGTGGCCGAGAGATCGGTTACCTCTTTGGCGCCTACCGCAAGCTTCGCAACCGTTGGGAGGGTGTCCTCACTGGAAAGGGTCTTTCATGGGGTGGTAGCTTGATCCGACCTGAGGCTACTGGCTACGGTCTCGTCTACTATGTCGAGTACATGCTTAAGCACGCCAACCGTGGCACCTTCGAGGGCAAGCGTGTCGCTCTCTCCGGCTCCGGAAATGTCGCCCAATACGCTGCTCTCAAGATCATCGAGCTTGGTGGTTCTGTTGTCTCTCTTTCCGACTCCAAGGGTGCTCTCGTCGCTAAGGAGGGTTCTTCATTCACACCCGAGCAAATCCACAACATTGCTGCCCTCAAGATCAAGCACCAAGCCCTGACCACTTTCGAGCACGATGGACAGTTCACATGGATTGAGGGCGCCCGCCCCTGGGTCCATGTTGGTAAGGTCGACATTGCTCTCCCCAGTGCTACTCAGAACGAGGTCAGCAAGGAGGAGGCCCAGGCTCTCGTTGATGCTGGCGCTTTCATCGTCGCTGAGGGTTCCAACATGGGTTGCACTGCTGAGGCTATTGATGTCTTCGAGGCTCACCGCAAGGAGAAGGGTGCTGAAGCGCTCTGGTACGCTCCCGGCAAGGCCTCCAACTGTGGTGGTGTCGCTGTTTCTGGCCTTGAGATGGCCCAGAACAGCCAGCGTATCCAGTGGACTGAGAAGGAGGTTGATGACCGCCTGAAGGCCATCATGAAGGATGCCTTTGTCGCTGGTCTTGAGACTGCTCAGAAGTACGTCGAGGCCAAGGAGGGTGAGCTTCCCAGCTTGATTGCTGGTAGCAACATCGCCGGTTTCATCAAGGTCGCCGAGGCCATGCACGACCAGGGTGATTGGTTCTAAACAGTTATTCAAGGATGCCTGGAGCGAGATAAGAGATCGATCAGAAAGGCCGCAATACCCGAGCTGGGCTCACATCAAGGCTCTCTGATCTTCTCATCACGATTGTCTCGCACAATGTCGAACTACTTCTGCACGGAACGGAGTTTCATTCTTGGCTACTATCAGGGCTTGCATACTGTTGGGCGTTGGCGGGGTTTCAAGAAGGGGATCACTTTGGGTTTTCTTCACGATAGACGTGGGCCTGGATCTTATAGTTTTTTTCTCACCTATTTCCTTTTTACTTTTTCTCCTTTTTAGCCCGATAGAACGAAGAATGAAACATGACACTTTTGATTCAAAGAAAATGAGAGCGCTGTGACATGTGTTCTTGGTCCACTGGATTGTATCTAAACTTAATCCTTTCAAATTGTTCAAACTTTGCCCATTTGCCAAATCACTTGGTATCATTATTCTGTCTCGCTCTTCGAGACTGGGGAGGACTTAAGCTACATCGTTCAATGATAGTTTCAAGGGCTCATTCCGGGGAAGAGGTGGTAATTCAATTTGGCCAAAATTTCTTTGGTGTGAGTTGCCGCTTCAATTTGATCCAAAATCTCACACATCTCCAGTGAAGTTCATTCATAGCCGTCTCCACTTCGGCATGTAACATTAAGTAGCCAAGGATCTGGGACTGGACGGCTGCGGCGTTACCTAGTCTGGGTTAATTTATGGTTCCTGATTGTTCACTTGTGGAACCTCGGCTGATGGTGTTACCGCGGGGAATTGTTACCTTAGTAGGTACTTAGGTAGGCATTGGATCTTATATATCCCCTTCGTTCTAGTTGTAAGTCAGATATTGTTCCTTTAGTCTTACTTGATGTAAGTGAAGGCCTTGGTTTGGCCCTTTTGCTGCATATTTAATCTCATCTTACCTTCAACATCGACTACCATGTTGCAGCATCCTCCTTTGACTGGCATCAAGGTGCTAGAATTCGCTGGTCTTGCTCCTGGTGAGTACATCAAAGACAAATGAAAGAGCAAAGTTGATAAACCGATTTTCTTGAAGGACCTTATGCTGGCATGTTGCTCGCTGACGCAGGCGCCTCGGTTCTCCGCATAGACCGTGCTCGACCCGACGCATCTGCGCCTACAGAAGACATGCTAGCCCGGCATAAATCCTCCATAGCCGTGGATCTTAAATCAGAGCGGGGCGTTGCGCTTATAAGACGTCTTGTTGCTGAGGCCGATGTCCTCATTGACCCTTTTCGTCCAGGCGTACTTGAGAAACTGTCACTGGGTCCGGAGGAGCTGTGCCGTCTTAACCCAAGACTTATATATGGCCGCATGACTGGGTTCCGTCGTGATGGAAAGTACGCACTCATGGCAGGTCACGACATTAACTATCTTGCCGTTTCAGGTACACTGGGAATGCTGGGCAGAGATGGCGAGAAGCCACATCCGCCGTGGAACATCCTGGCTGACTTCGCTGGTGGAGGAGCGATGCTATTTGAAGGTATCTTGATGGCCATCATCTCAAGACAATCTTCTGGCCGCGGACAAGTTGTCGAGGCAAATATGGTGGATGGAAGCTCATATCTGACCACTTTTCCTCGAATGGCGCTCAAGACGATGGTGGGCAACAGTGGCCGAGGAAACAATTTGCTCGATGGAGGTGCTCCCTTTTACGACACTTACGAGACATCGGATGGCAAATATGTCGCTGTCGGAGCTCTTGAACCGCAATTCTTTGCCATTCTTTTAAGTGGGCTCGAGATTGCTGGTCAAGGATGGGAAGAGGATCAGCACAACAGAGATCGCTGGCCCGAGCTTCGGCATTTAATGACAGATAGGTTTCGAAGTAAGACTCGTGCCCAGTGGGAACTAGTCTTCGATGGTACTGATGCGTGTTGCACCCCTGTGCTGGAGTATAGCGAACTAGAGAATGACCCCAAGCGGGAAGGTGACCAGAGACCGGCGGTGACCTTGCGGGAGACGCCCTGTCTTGCCGTGAAAGAGGGCGTAGGACATGCAGACCCAGCTCGGCTTGGACAAGGCCCAGGTGTACCCGGAGACGGCTATAGAGCGAATCTGCTGAAGCCTGGAGCAGGGGGGGAAGAAGTCTTGAGGAAATGGCTGGGATGGGAGAACGGAACCGAGTATGTACTGGAGCGGGGAGGGTTTGTACTCAAGGAGCTTTCCAAGCTGTAACATGTACTGAGTATGAGTGTCGTGTTTTATACAAGCCATCATTGGCTTGCGCTAATGGTAGAAAGACCAGGAAACTGGTGTGTTAGGACAGAGGCACCAAAGAGAGAGTTGCGTTGGATGCACACTCAGAAGGGCAATGATTATATATTCTACCTACAACAGGACCTTTCTACACAATCCACTCAGAACTAACAAGTAAGCTTGGTAGAAAGCGCAAGCCAGTAGCTGGACAGCTAACACATTACCGCCACTTACTCCCGCTTCGTCAACAGCGCCCCAAGACAAAACCACGCCTGCAAACCCTGTCGTATGCAAGGGCCAAGCCATGCATCCCAATATAAGTCATTAAGCAGTCTACTACAGGCCTCTCCCTGAAAAGTGTGGTATCGAAAAATATAAATAAAGTGATGCTTAGGACGTCATGAGAAGGGGCCGGGAGACGACTGCTGGGTAGTGAACTCCCTGGGGCGGTTACTTCGTAGGTGGAGAAGCGGCAGAAGGGCTCAGTCTGACCCCGATGCTGAGCAGGGAAGTCATGATACGAGTCTTCGTCCATCACCACATCACTGTACTTGACTGACGATCTCACTGGCCTTCGAGAGAGACTCAACCATCTGCTGGCACTCCTTTCTCCGTCGGATTGTGAAGTCACTCTCCTTCAGAAGGTCGTCCAATGTGTCGGTTCGGTACATGTTCTCCAATAGCTCTCGTTGCATTTCGTCCTTGGTAAACCTATCGCTGATATTAGGGGATTTGACGGAACCTCTGGCTGCGAAACACTTACTGCACAAGATTCAGCATGACAGCCTTGGGGACCATGTCAATCATGGTTCGCTTGACGATGTTATAGTAAGAGGAGATGAGGAGCTCTGTACAGTCATTAGTATTATGCCATAGATGCCAAGCCCTTCATCTAAACGTACTGATAACCTCCACCTCAATATTCTCGCGTTCTGACAGGGTACCAGAAGCCTTGAGAGTGGGTGGAGGAGCTTCCATAGCGGCGGCCTTTTTCTTGTTCTTGGCCGCGAAGAAACTACCAAAAAAGCCCGAGTTGCCGGCGCTATCGGGATCCGGGACTGTCGGGCTGGCAGCCCGGGGGGTTGATGCAAGTGGCTTGCCAGTCTTTGGGTCAACCTGAACAGGCTTGCTGGGGTTGTATCGCTCATTCACCATCGCCATTGCCTGAGATATCAGTTTAGAGCCATTTCAAGTAAGCTCAGAAGCGAATTGACTTACTCGGTGACCGTTCAGAAAGTCGGGGTGGCCTGTGTTGACGTAGCATGATTCCATAGCCACCAAATCTCTGACGAGCTTGTTGGTAGGTTCCATAGCCTTCTTGAAAAAAGCAATTACTACGCCATGCATCTTTTCCTTCAGTTGAGGGTACCGGCGGTAAAGCTGCTTGGCGAGAAGCTGTGACAGAATTCGAACAAGTTCATCGTATACGAGAGAAACACACTTCAAACTGGGGTCTTCCAATCGCTTGATCTGCTGCTTCACAATCAGTTCGAAAGCGGTAGTACCGACAAATAGTGCTGGAGAAGATCCAGAAGAGTTATAGAGGATGGTACGGATGTCAACATCCTTGACGACATCAAATGGGTCAATGGCCTTGACACCGTTCGAGTAAAGCTCGTGAAAGACAAAGCTGATACGAGCACCTCCCGAAAGCTCAGTGCTGGACAGCTCAGTGTTGTTACCATCCAGAACTGTGCGCCACTCGTTGGTGAACTCGGTGATGATATTCAGAACGATGTTGGCGCTGTTGCCGAGCATAGAGGGGCCGAGGCTTTCCAGTTCAGCTGAGTACTTTTGAAGAGAACTACTGATGCGGGCCTTGATGTCAGGTAGGGTCTGTTTGATGTGCATCATGAGAATGAGGTTAAGTTTGCGCGCGAGATAAGGAGTTCCACAATATGAGCTCTTGTTTCGGTAAGCCTTATGGTTTTCGAAAAAGTTCTTCTCAGCCTCGAGCGCCTGGTTGATGGCCTTTCGATTATCAATATCTCGTTGGCCTCGATTCACAACGGGGACGTAGCCCAGTCGAAGAGGAATGACACGGTTCGACAGAATATCGATGACATCAGTTCCCTCATCCATCAGATCAACCTTGGTCAAGACTCCGATCGTCCTTTGACCTTCAGGGTCAACCTCTCGTGCCAGCTTGAGACCGTCCGAGTTGGCCAAGTCCTGGTTGGCGGCAGTGACTGCAAGTATGATGGCGTTGGACTTGCCAATATGTTTGAGAACCATCTCCCGGATCTGTCGTTCGATATCGCGAGGCTGGTCTCCGACTGGGACCTTGGTAAGTCCGGGCAAATCGACCAGGGTCAGAGTGAGGACGTTGGGAGAATAGATACGAAGGTTGATGGGAGCGGGGGAGATGCCGGCATTTCGTCCAACCTTGGCTTCTGTCTCTCTAGAGATCTCGTCTCGAATCTTGGAAAAATCGTAGAACTTCTGCCCAGGGGCATGAAGGAACTCTCCCCACTCATCGGCATTGGCCTGCTTGTCGTTGGTGGTATCGACCTCCTCGGCCTTGACTCCATTGCTCTGGGGCGCACGGTTGATGAGTTGAAGAACGAGGGGACGTCGGGTTACAATACCAGAGCCTCGGGGCAGGCTAGGAGGGGCGGTCAGTCTCATGGCGACCTAACATAGGCGGTATGCAGCAAACTCACAAGTCTCGACCGACAATGTTCTCCAAAACTGAACTCTTTCCACTTGACTGACTTCCCACCACGGCGATCTGAGGCAAATCGATAGGGTTGTTGACACCAACAGTCGCGAAAACATCCTGAAGCTTGTTG